CCGGCTCCCTTGGCCAATAAAGCGAGATGAGCGCCGCAACCCCAGAGTCGTCCGCGACTGGACCTAACGGTCAGGGGTCCCTTTACCTTTAGTGACCCAACCAAAATTTAATCATGGGGTGAGGCAAACATTTCCTTAGCAACCTACACTGTGGGCAAATAAGTAATGATATTCTGTACATTTAACATAAAGTATACAGTACTTGCATATTTCAGGAAGAACGTTAGTTCCTCAGCCTTTCCTGTACTGATTTATGAATTCATGCCACCTGAGCCCATGTGGTCTGTAGTTGTAATGTCAACTTTATTGTTTGACCTGGCCTTTCATGATGGGGTTGAAAAGTTGTAGTTGCTACAGAAATGCCATGGAGAACAGGTCAACAAAGAGTCTTGTGTGACACAACTCTTTGTTGACTTTGCTGCAAAACTAACATGGGTCTTCCTCTAGGAAGGGAAAACAGAGTAACGTCCCAAACACAGAAGTTGGCCAGCCAATAGAATTGTGTTTGTTTTGTTGTGTTTCCTTGTGTTGCTGCTCCTCCTGTTTTAAATGTTTTAAATTGTGAACCTCCAGAACAGAAACATACTATTTCTATTTCTCTGCTCCAAGTCATCCCAAGTCAGTTTAGCCAATGGCCAAAATGATGGGAGTTGCAGCCCAACATCTCAAGACTCAAGGCTGAAGAATACTGCCTACTGTAACCCAATGGGTTGACATGAGTATAAATGAAACAATGGCATTGTATTTAGCTCCATAATTCTTGCAGCTGAATAATTTTGCTTCTACCAGCCTCTTGTTTGAAGCATCAGACTGGGCTATCTCAAACAGCCACAAAAAACAAGCAGTGGTCTTGTTTCCATAAGATAAATTGTACAATAATATTTCAGACCATTTTTTTACATTCTTATTGCTGCTCAAAGTCCCATGAGGGATGGCAGGCTGCACAACTCTTGGGGCAGAAAAATGTGGGTTTGCGTGCAAACACATACATTAGAGTAAACTGACAAGTTTAGAGAAAGCCCGGTCTATGAAAGATATTGATTAATTTGTTGCCCAAAATAAAATGCTAGGGTAGAGAGCTTTTTGCTCAGTGGAGACCTCCAGCCAATTACTACTGAAAACATTCAGGTGTATTGGGCACACTTAGTAAAAGAACAAGCAGCACGCTGTCTCTACAGGGAAGAGAAAGTTCTTTTGCAGCATCCAGGTAGGAGAAGTATTATGGTCTTGTTTTGGCATGAAATAATTTCCTAAGTACCAGAACTTTAATATTATAAAGTGGGAGCTGCAACAAAATGTTGCAGTATGCGGTGCTCCTATTCCTATTCAAGCCTTCAGCCAGCCAGCCATACTCTTTGGAAGGAACTGCATTCCATTCCTGTCCCTACTCAACAGCCTGCCAGCATTCTATAACCACAGTGCATGCACAGTTCTTTGGGGGTCCCCACTTGGGTTTTCCCCTTTTCTGTGTGGGGAGAATCCTTGTGAATGGGTGCTGTTGCTTTGGCTACAAAAGGATCTGCGCTTGGAGAATGAACTTGCCACATCCGTGTATAGGATGAAAACGTGCAGTATGAATTGACAATAATTAGCTGTTTTCTGACCTCATTTGAAGCTGCGTGGTAATATCAGCACTGAAACTGGAATGGAAATCTAGAGAAAGCAAGCTGTGAATGTGGCCTTCTGCTTATAGTTAAGCATCTTTTTTGCTGATGCGACAGAGTCTATCAACAAATTATCACAGAGAACATGAAAGGGCTTAGAAACTCTTTTGTAGCTTTTAAAAAGGGGGCTGGTGGATAATAATTAGATTACAAATGGGCTTTTAAAGAGTTCTTGCCAAAGGCTTGTTATGCTAAATTGGTGGAACTGTTTTGTTAATGCAATAAGCAAAATGTTGTTTTATGTTACAAATTAGGCACTGCCTTTTGATAATTTTCAAATTAAACAAATCTTCTGCCTAATTCATGAAAATGGAAACATTACTACTTCAGTCACATAACCTCTGCCTGATTCCTAAGATTAGTGACACCTTTGCCTAATTTGAGATCTAAACAAAGCTTCCGTCAGTTTTGTAACATTGAATGGAGCAAAACTTCTGCTTGACTTATAAACCTGTCACTTCACTGCATAATTAATTAAATAAACAAAGTTTTAAAGGAAATGGCAGTTTCATCAAAACATAAAGGTAAAGTGATGTGGAAGATCCGTGACTATAATTTTCCATTGTTGTTTTTTTTAAAAAGGCACCCACACAGGAAAATGAATTGGACTGGGACTAAAGCATGGGGAGAGATGCTGTTAGCTCTTCCCCACTACAGTGTTTTCCTAGTTAAAATGCCCTTCCTTGAGCAGCTTTGTTTCCTATGGGGAAAATGTGAAGGTATAATAGCAATTTCAGAGGCTGGTTGTTTTAACTGGGAAAACAGCACAGGGAAAAGGATTAGAATGTCCCTCCCCAGATCCATTGAGTCACAATTTTAATTTGAACAACAGAGGATCCTAATTATGGATCTTCAGTCTAGTTTCAGTCAAAACTAGACATTAGTTTGGCACCAGACTGCAATTTTTATCAGACAGTAACGTATCAATTTCTGAGCGTTTCAGAGGCAATCTCACAAGTCAGACCAAGGCATTGCTTAATTTATGATTTAGATAAAGATGGCACCTAATTTACAAATTAGGCGAAGCATTTTTGCATGGAAGCGTTCTGATTTGATTCTGATTCTGCAAGTCCTCTACAAGTCTTGGTAGTTAAAGCCCCTGAACCAGAGGGTTCGCGGCAAAACAACCATCAGTAACAGATGAGTGCATAGGAAAGCCTCAGGGAGCAACCAGAAAAGCAGTCTGATAAAAAAATAACAAGCTCCAGGATGAACCAGGGCAAAGATCAGGAGTGGCAGAGCAAAACTAGGAAGCAGATACTAAAGAATGGACTATATAGCTCAAGATGGAAAGTACAGGCCAACTCTTGAGAGCCAAAGTCCTCTGCTTCAGGTCACGCTGGTTCTGAAGGAGTCTCAAAGTGGCTAACAATCTCCTTTCCCTTCCTCCCCCACAACAAACACTCTGTGAGGTGAGTGGGGCTGAGAGACTTCAGAGAAGTGTGACTAGCCCAAGGTCACCCAGCAGCTGCATGTGGAGGAGCGGAGACGCGAGCCCGGTTCACCAGATAACGAGTCCACCGCTCTTAACCACTACACCACACTGGCTTCCACTACACCACACTGGAAGCAGACAGAGGCATTTTTCACAAACCAAGCTTTTCTCATTCATAAAGCAACCACATACCTCTAAGCTGCCCCAAGAGCCAGATCATCAGGGCTGTTACCAGCTATCATGCTAAAAATCAGGTTAGGGTCTCTCACAGAAGGTACTTAGAGGAGAAAGGAACCTAAGAATCTCCACGAGTAGAATTTCTTGTCCTGGTGTCTCCTTACTTCTGAATGTCTGTGCTTGCTCTTCGGTGACTTCTTAATACTGATTTCGCTGCCAACTACATGCTCAATACCCTTCCAGTTTCCTGACCCTCTGCTGCTCTCTTAATGCACCTGTTTCCTGTTCTAAATGGCACCAAGCTCCAATGAGGCGAACAGGAGCAGAGTGGGATCTGGTTTCCCAAATATGTCAGTTAACCAGCAATAACACTGTTAGCTGGGAAAGCAGCATGCTCTACATACAACTAGTAAAGAGTAGGTAGGATTTCATGCAAAGGTCTCTAATATTAGCTTGAAAGTGCACCAACACTTCAAAAAGAACAGTTCATCTCAAAACCAACTTCTTTGTGCCATAAAGAGGATCTGCTTATCCTGGTTGTTGTGTTTTCCATCTGAATTTCAGACATATGGAAAACCACTCAGACACGGCAGCTTGAATCCTGAAATACAATGCATGGAGCATTTTTTTAATGCCTTGAAAAGAAGATAGCTTTAAGAACTGTAGTATTAAGCCAGAAGACATTCTTAAAGTAAATGAAAACAAGGGGGTGATATCCAAGGGCACAATCTAAATTACTCACCACCACAGGTATGGCTTTGGGGAGCAGCAGAATAATCGCTGCATCTGTAGACCTGATCTTCATGGCGGCTGCAGCAGAAAAGTGGGGAAGCACAATTGGGCCTGGATCATGCCCAGAGCTGTCATATGATGGCAGCAAGGCTGGCCTGGGGTTCAGCCTCCTTCCCCTTGAATGCCTTGTTCTGGGGCTTTCTGTTGTACGATGACGCCTTGTATACCTTGTATACTTCCTTCCAGCAACTCCTGCAGCCAAGATGGTGCCAAACGTATTTCTCTGCTTTCCTTTGGACCACATCAGCAAAGCTGAGAGGAGGGTGTTGTCTGGGCAACCCAGGATCTCCATATACACTGGCCAGGCTTGCATCCTGGAGAGGTCACTTCGGTGCTGCTAATGTAATGGTTTGATTTCACCCCTGGAGGTGAACTCCATTGTCTCTCGAGACAGATGGATGTCAACAGTATGCTGGCCCCTGGTGGCAGCCATACTACCTACAAGCCTCCTGTGTGCCCATATAACTGATGGAAGGGGGAGATCAGCACTGATGGAAATGATGATGGCATCAATCTGGTGGCAGCAGCTGGCGGGAGGCTGGCTAAGCCAAGAAAGCAGGGAAGAGGGACAACTCTGCCTAGTCAAGTTGCCTCAGCCAGGCATAAGGGTAGTGGTGGATTGCTTTGTCTATCATAGTTAAGAGTAAACTCACTGGAATCCATAAGTTTTTGCAATGAGCAGAAATCTTAAAGCAAAGTGATGCAGGTAAGTTTTATCGAATATCTGAAATCACTAGATTCAAAAGTGAAACATTCTAAATCCTCTCATATCTAAGCATTAAAGCTGCAGAAACTTTACTGAACTTTTGGTGAAATAATTTGAAATAAATGTTTGTGGAATTTTATCACCCATATTTCTAGTTTTGCCATATGAATGAGTAGAACCAAAACTAAATAGCTTGACTCCTTTGGCAAACAACATGAAATGCATCTGTAAGCCAACCACATGTTTTATAACATAAAAAAATTGACAAACGGTTGTAATAAAACGATAAACAGCAAGTATGTTCCTAACTTTGGATAAGACATTGTAACAGAATATTCACAATTAATTTCAACAGGTCTAAATTTGTTGCTGACTCTGGAACCAGGAGATTTGGTAGTGTCTGGCTCTTTAAGCTTTTGATTTCTGATGAAATTCCTTTAGCATTTAACCCAGTCTCATATTTTAAAGCAAAAGCCAATAATTTCATCTCACATTATTTAAATAAATAAGTGCTATTTTTGTAAAATAACATGTATAACATAAGTATTTTGGGGGCCCCTCAATTAAGGCACCTGGAGAAAACCCCTAACCCACTCACAATTCCTTATTCCAGCCCAGCATATAAAAGTCTTGTTATAATGCAATAAAAATCTTTAGACGTGTAGCTTTTTGTTTCAAATTTTGCTCTGTGCGCTAAAGACGTCCCTAAAGATTATGAAAGTTCCAGAATCGGGGATACTGGGGACACATGAATCTGTGCGCAAACATGATAATCTCTTGTGATTCTCCCACACATGAGACTTGCATGCTTTCAATAAGTGGCATGGGAGGAAGCCAGGGGTCACACTATATAAAGTTATATCCGTGAAAAACCCTAATACACAAATTTGAGGAATATATTCAGGTCAGGACTTTACTATATTATAATCTGACTGGATCCTTTCTAACCCCCCCTGCCCCCAGCCCTGTTCAGGAAAAATACTATCAAGACAACCAAGTCTGTTGCCCTGAATTCTGTGCTCTCAAAATCCTGAAGTAGCCAATACTGCTTCTTTAAAAGTATGCTAGTTACTGTGTCAGCCTGTGTGCTTTGGCTACTTAAAAAGCATAAATTGGATTTAGGCTGCCTTCAAGCTCCTTTCAACGTCATTTCTTTGATAACACAATCCAAGGTTTAGAACAAATCATGAAATTAGACATCTGACTTCTTCCCTAAAATAAAAGATTGCCTGTAAATAGTTGAAGGGCAGCAGGTTTTTCTCTGTTATAGTCACCACGAACATACACAGTACAATTTACAAGGGACTAGAAGACCAACCATGGCAAATCATTGCATATAAGTGAAACTGATACTGCGACATGAGCTTTCATTTCCACCCTCCTTCCAAGCTTCCGTTGTAAATAATGTCATAAGGAAAAACCTTAAGATCAAGGTAGGGGCAATGCGCTGGAAGACACTGGTTGCTATGTGGAAAGGATTCTTCCAGGAGAGGGAGACAGGTAGGTAAAGATAACACCGGGAGCCTGTTCCCGTTCCAGCTGGAGTGTCTCTTCTCCTTCCACAGGGCCATCTGCCACCAACCACCCCGTGACAAGGAGCCTGATAACTTGTTATATTTTTGATATTGTTTATTCTGATGTTATTAATGTATTTTGATGTTCACTGTAAGCCTCCTTGGAAAGATATGTGTCCGGAAAGTCAGGATAGACAGTAAATATAATAAATAAACAATACATAGTAAGCTATTCAACAGCCAATCAAATAACACTGATTTAAGGCGGACTGAAAAGCACAACATACTGTTTTCTTAAATGACAAAATCTAAAAAGCCAAAACATAAAATGCGGAAGGATGGCTGAGAGACTCTTTCTCATTTATCAGAACAATAGGAGTTCCACATATCTATTCACAGTTGAATAATTAAGTTCAATGAAATATCAGCGTCTCTTAGTGTGAGGATGTGTGTACACACCCAAGGGAAATTCACCACCGTTCCACCTGACTGTTGTAATCCTCAGTAACAGCTAGCGTTTCTGCTTCCTCCTCTTTTTGCCATTCGTGGACCTTCTGTTCACGCAACATTTTTCGCTCCTCCCGTCGTTTTTGGCGATTTAGTTCATGCTCTTCTTGCTTGGCATACTGAAAGCGCTGCAGAAATAGGTCCTTAGCGTATTCATACAGCTGCATATCCAGGAAGTTCAGCTCTTCGATGCGCTTCCGCACTGACTCACTGATATCCACATTAGAGGCTCGGGTGATATTGTACTGAGTGAACGGAGAGATGAACTCCAGGTTAAATGTCCTCTCAAAGAGATATTGAGTTTTCCTCTGAAATTCTGTGAGCCCAAAGAAGGCCATGTTTTTCAAGTTGTTCTTGGCGCTTTGGAGAAGGATCGTGTTCCTTTCACTTTCATTCATAAAGGTCAAATTGTAACATCCAACCAGGCTGAGGTCTGCCAGCATGCGCACCTGCCGACTGTTAGCCAAATTATGGCCACAATCCATGAATTCCTGCAAGCTGACCCCAGACCAGTCATCCCCTAGGTAACACATCGGCAGTTCCTCTGGTGTCGGGCTCCTCCCGTCACACATGTGGAGGGAAGTCTTCCATGTTGCACCCCTTTGAACATGTTTCCATTCACTCAAGTAGCGTGACACAGGATCTCTCAGCATTGTGATGTAATAGAAGTTCCTGAAAGAATTAAGAAAAGAAATTAAGGTTTCAGTGGTGTGTTGCTTCCTTTAATTAGTCAATTATTAATTGAAGAACGTCAAAGAAATGTCTGGAATTGGATATGTTTGACACTGGATTATGATATCCCTCAGATAATCTCATCTGTACTACTATTTTCTTTATTTATAAGATTTCTTATCTATAATAATAATAATAATAATTTATTATTTGTACCCCGCCCATCTGGCTGGGTTTCCCCAGCCACTCTGGGCGGCTTCCATATAAACCAACGATACAGTAAAATATCACAGATTAAAAACTTCCCTGAACATCTAGCCTACACCTTAAGATCCCAGAGCAGGTAAAAACATACAATTAAAAAGAAGTGAAACAGTTTATATAGTCTGTAGAAAAGTAATAGGGCTTTCTGGTGAGAGCTGGATTTCCTCCAGCTTTCTGACACATGTTCCTCTGTAAGAGCCAAATTAAATCCAACAGTGTGAGATCCAGGATTAGATTTCTTACTTTTTTATTTAAAAAACCCTGTAACAGTCTCCCCCACACCTCTGGGTTTAATTAGGACTGCAGTGTTGGAGAAGGGGGCATTAGCCCTTTCTCCCTGTACCGTTTTCCCAATGAAAATTGGTCCCAAAGCAGTAGGGCAAAACACAGAAGTGTTAAACTGGTACTGAAATCTTTTTCTCCATTGGGCAAATAGCAATGAGGGATTTTCATCAAGAAAAGGGTATAGGGGGCAAAGTAAATCCTTCCTCCCCCAGCCACACAATCCTAATCAGATTCCCAACCCCAGTGGTGGTTGTTAAACATTTGAAAAAAACAGTGAAATATGCAATCATTGATTTTCTGCAGTCATGTAAAGTTCAACTCTGAGAAGCAATACAGAAATGAATTTTTATGTGACAAACATTGTAGGGTCTCTCATCTAGCATTTAATCTCCAAGCTACAGCATTGTAATAGTTAAGAGTTCTATTTTTTATATTTATATTTTCACAAGTGCCTGATTTAAGGTTTGGTCTTAAATAAAGCTTAGCTTAGAAAATTCTTATTTTGGCCTGGTTTAATCAATATCTCTCGCATCAATATCGCCCTGCATACCAGAAGGAGCATTTCCACCCCCATCGTTCAGCCCGAACACTGAGGTCCAGCTCCAAAGGCCTTCTGGCAGTTCTCTCATGGGGAGAAGTGAAGTTACAGGGAACCAGGCAGAGGGACTTCTAGGTAGTGGCACCTGCCCTGTGGAATGCCCTCCCATCATATATCAAACAAATAAATAACTAAATGACTTTTAGAAGACATCTGAAGGGAAGTTTTTAATGGTTGGTGTTTTATTGTGTTTGTAGTATTTTGTCGGGAACCGCCCAGAGTAGCTGGGACAACTCAGTGAGATGGGCAGCACAACAACAACAACAATGGGGAGGAGACCAGCAGTGCCTCCTATTCACCAAGAGGCCACTGTAGAGATGGCATGGGGGATGGGGAGGCAGCCTCCAAGAAGTGTGCCATTTCTGTTGCTGCAACTGTGGCAGTGGCAGCAGGCGATGCATTTCTTGGAGGCTAGATCTGCTGCCACTGTGGATTCTGCTGTCTGAAGCAATTGCCTCACCTTGCCTCATAGGTGAGCCGGCCCTGTCTCGCATCATATCATACAAGAGCTTCTGAATAAGCTCGGACAACAAACTGCATCCACTAAAACACAGAAGCACACACATTCTCCGGTCATGTGAAAATTTAATATGTTTGATATAATGCAAAAGAGAAGGAAAGGGTACCATTTGGAAAGTTGTCAGGGCTAAATAAGAAATGCATATTATGAGGTGGATCTCTAAGGAGATTCAGTCATCTGTGGCCTCTGGCCATGCAATAAAGGCAGACGTCACTTTGTCCTTTAGCTTTTCTCCAGCTTTCTGAATAATTATGAAATTATGGAAAATATGGCATTGTCGGATGCCCAGAGGCTACAGGTAATCACTTCTCCATGCAGCAACATGTGAAGTTGTAAGCAGCTGCTGCTAACTTCCCAGTCACCTTTTTTGTTCTCCTCATAGATTTGATCAGAGAGATGTACTGCTCTGAAAGAAAAGGACAAGATTAAATTGCCTCAAATCCAAATGTTTGGTATAACAGGGCTTTTCAGTTGCATCATCTGTGCCTGAATGCTGCCTAGGAACAGAAACAGCAGCTTGTGAATCATTTCTATCCTTCCTCATCAATCCCAGCTACCATCATTCCCCCCCCCTCATCATCTTCACTTGATGTAATACTTTCTCAATACACATGCATCCTTCCCACCAGCCTCCTCCAACACATTTAAAATTCCAAATACAAGACAAAAAACCGGCAGAGAGGAATTGAGAGAAAATTAAGAGCCTCGGACGTAAGGTCTCAAGGCTGATAGCAGATAGACTGATGGACATTGGTTGGGGATCGAAACCGGGAAAGGGGGGGTGGGGTTTGGGAATCCAAAGGGTGTACAGTTATATTCTGATTCTTTTTATTTTGTTTTGTTATTAGTATAAAAATGGGGAATTCGTGGAAGGGAATTTGGGTCGACCTTAGAAAAAGGTTTTAAGAAGGAGTACTGACGTATAAAGACTGATGTACATAAGTTAAAATTGGATATATAAAATGAATTAAATATAATAATGAACTAAATATAATAAGGTTAAAAATTGGGGAAAAGAACTTGTTGAACTAACAATTGGAAATGGAATACAAGAAGGGGAGGCGTGGGGAAGTCATGGAAATATGTTACTGAAAATAAGGATTGTAAACGTTGAGTGTTTTTAATTCTTTTTTTCTTTTTTTTCTTTTTCTCTGGATTTTTTTTGAAAATTTCAATAAATATCTTTTTTTTAAAAAAGGTATTGATTCCATTAAGTAAATATGCATACGTCACGGAATCAGGGACAGCCCAAGATACGTCTGTGGTGAACAATGATATGGCACCCCCTCCATTCCTTGTAGAGAAGCCAATTGGGTTGAAAATGGAACCTTAGTTCAACCCTGGCAATAGGAGAGCAAGCTTCTACTGGCCCAGGCTAGCTTAGGGGGCTCTGTGCTGCCTACATGCCATGTATAATTGCATCCGCCAACCCCCTGCCTCCTCTTCACTGTCATCTGCTGCATTATTCTGCTTTATGGTAGGGCTGGTTCTGCTGGAGGCTGGTATCATCAACAATATTTCTCCCCAAGCATAGTTCCACAATGACCTTCGACATCCAGTATGTGACTAGACTCGCCATCTTCATTAAGAACCTCCCCAGTCCCACTCGGCCTTTTGTATGTTAACAACAGAAATGCAATCACTTCTTGACTTCCCTTTCAAAGTCTTATCTAAGCCTACGTTGTTTTATGGTACTATTGTTAATGATTTTACCTCTACAAGCTGCTTTGAACCAAATTGTGAGATACAAATCTAATTAACAAGGCTTGCAAATTCTAACTATCAAATAAGTTATATGACAAAGTAATTTCTAAGGGCCATTTTGCACATCTCTCTTATGGGGGCGAAGAAGTCAGAATACACAGCTTGTTAGCAAGTAATAAATACATTTACCTTTTTAAGCCAACATGGTGAATCATAAATCTGTTATAAAGTAATCATCTCCTATAAAAGTAATGTACAAAAAGGCCTTAGCAACAGTAAACATAGCAACAACACTTTGAAAGCCTTGAAGCATTTTAAAATATTGGGAGGACAATATAAGACAGAATGACTACTCAGGGGGAAAGGATCATAGAAAGCAGACAGCAAAGGGAAGAAGACACTTTTTAATTAAGAATAAAATTTCTTGTACACAACTAACTATACAATGCTCCAGGGAATCTGTTAAATCCTCTCCAAGCAGCACTCATTTAGGAATAATTACTTAAAATAAAAATAAAAAAGAAAATACTTGATGTAACCATTAACATGCTTGCACTACTATGGGCAAAGTAGAAAGGAAGGGGGGAAAGCAAATTCTGTCACCATTTTGTAACATGTGCTTTTGACAATTCTACTAATTGCCAAAAACCCAGGCAGAAATGAAATTTATTTGGGAGAACATTTGGGAACACTCTACCCAAAGGCCTCATCCGTGCATAATGCTAAGCCGAGGTTAACATTAATCAGAGTTGATAAAGTACAGTTAAAATCTAGGCATCTTCCAGTCGATCACTTGTACCTTGGCTTTTTATACCACAGCATAGTTTCTCTCCTCTCCCTGCTGCCCTCCCCATAGCTTCAGACTGCTATCCAAATGCCTTTATGCTGCCCTTAGACTGGAAATACCTCGCTTTGTCATTAGTGTCACCAGCCTGCTTGCTATTAGGCAACAGGATGGATGGATGGATGGGGCATGGGAAACCTGACAGCTACTGTTGGCAACTGCCACACCAGTTCTGATCCTCACCCTCTACAAAAAAAGGAGACATAATTAATGAAGAGCATTCACCCTTTCCATGCTAGGTTGGAAGTTTAACAGCAGACGCATTTGTCCCCTTCCTTCCCTCTGCTTTTCAGTCTTACCACTTTTCTCAAGCTGTGATCCTTCTATTCCACACAGGGTTCAAGTCTGCATATCCTACAAAGTTGCTCAAGATCCTTTTAAATGGACGAAAGGAAGTCTTGATGGCCTGGGAACCTGCAGTCACGTCCTGTCCCCCAACCCACTCCAAAAAGATGTGCTTGAAGAGAAGGTGGCAATGACTCCAAAGTTGCTCATTTGAATGCACACCCTTTCCCACGCAACCCAATGCATCCTTGTGGTGCCTTTAATTTTTTCTCGCCTCACAGCACAGCAGCAGTGAACGCTAGAAAATGCTTTCAGAACATGACGTGGGGAGTGGGACAAGCAGTTGTTGACAGGCACAGTTAAACGCATGAGTGAGAGCAACTGAACCTTGAGAATGGTCTGAATTTCTGCAGCTCTTCACTCATGGCTTTGGAGCCTTTGGGTGGTGACAACTTCTTAATCATAGTTAAGGAGGAGCCAGTTTGGGCTCCATACTAAGG